CTTATCAACCATTTGCATGCATTTGCAGGCACCTTTGACCTTATTTTGTGCCAAACAGACACCTTTTACAATAGAATTGCGTTTTTATTGAAATTGCATATGAAGTGGTAGTCTTAAATTTATATGAAAAAACTGAAATAAATACATAAAATAATAATCTTGTGATGGGGGATAGAGGTCCCTGAAAAGGGCCCCAAGGCCGGTCTTCCCTGGTTTACGCTCATGCTATCGGGTCTGTGAGGCTGTACTGTGACGTAAATGCTAACGTCAGCATGCTCACATGCTCATAATGACAATATTAATGCTGATATTAAGCAGATACAATGTTTGCATCTTAGTTTAGCTTGTTTGCATGCTTATTACATTACATTTGTTTATTAGCACTAAACACAAAGTACAGCTAAAACTGATGGGAATGCCATTAGTCATAAACCTAGCAAGACCCCTTATTATAAGGTTATTAACTCTTACTTACAAAAAATCATATATAATTGTATTCGCTGAAACGATTAGTTGATTAATATACAGTATATATTAGTAATTAGTATTTATTGTCATTAATCGTTGATGTGGTTCCAGCTTTCTGGAATTTGCTGCTTTTCTTTGTTTGCATTATACTAAATTTTATAGGCTAAACAATCAATCAATTGAGAAAATTATAGAAAGTTGTGGCCCCAATGTGTCCCCTTCTGTCTCCTCCAGGCCCTTGGTCAGAGCAGCAGACAGCTGCTGGAATGTGCCAGTGAGAGGGCTCGTGTCCTGGAGCTGCTGCCTCACAGCGGCGCTGCTGGAGGACACCGCAGCGCTGCTCAGACCTTCAGCAAAACAGACTCCGTCAGCCCCTTTACACCAGGTACAGTCAGGACACAAAGTGAAACTGTATCAATCCCTGCAGACAATACTGCTGCAGCAGCAGGAAAAGCAGCTCAGAAAGACAAATCACACAAAGACAACACAAAAGAAAGAGCATCATTTTACACACATCCAAACAAAATGTTGGGACATAAAATGGTATAACTGAAAAACAACCGACTCCCAGCCGGATCTTTGTCTGTTTGGCAGCACTGTTTGAAAAAAAAACAACACATCATAACATTTGATAATTTGCACTAAACACAAAGTAAATCTGAGGCTAGTTTTATTTAGTCATAAACCAAATTATTGGACAAATAAATGTTTTTATCTGACCTTGTGCAGAGTGCGAATATGTGTGCATTATTATGACAGTATCTATCAAACATCAAATACTACCCCTAACAATGAACTGCTGACACTCACAAAGAAGATCTGATCTGGAACATTTGACCTTCCCGGTTTAAAATGATCCACTGTGTACCAAGCAAATTTCACCAGTGTGGAATAAAGAAAATCTTATCTTAAAAGGGTTATAGTATTGTAAATAGGGATGTAAGATTTATTTTAACAATATGAGACTTAATTAAAAAAAATTCTCAGACAAAAATCTACAAAATATATTTTCTCTTATATTTTCTTTATCAAATTAGATAAAATTTGTATTACTCTGAGGTAGGGTATAAACGGTATATTTCCTTTTGAACTGAATGTAAATGGTATGGATCTTTCTTTTTCGGTGATTTGTCTTCATGAAGAATGTAAACAGGTTTTAGAGTCGTCCACTTTGACAGTGAACCAGTCACAGCAACTGAGGGAAAACATCAGACAGATGCTAACCAGTGCCATCACCAGGCAGAAAGCTACTCACTGCACCGTCAATGACGGCCTGGTGAAGAAAATGGCAGAGACGATCAGTCTGCAGGTAGATGCAAATGCAACATGTTGAAAGTCTTTGTATGCAAATTAGAAATTCTTATTGATCAGACATCATTGTGACAGCAGAATAATAAAACATATTTCCCTTTCATTCTGTCATTTGTAGCAAAATCTGACTCTGATGTCTGCAGCCACCAGGCAGGCAATGTTTCGCAAGCAGAGGGAAATAAACTGTATTCGTCACAGCCACGACCGAGTACAGGTTTGTGTGTATGTGGAACAGGATCTGTGAATTTGTTTGAGATTCAGTGACAGTGTATACAATGTGTTTTCCCCGTGTTATTCTGTGTACAGGGTCCAGAGTACAGCGGTGACATACTGTCCAGAGAGAAACTCAACAGGCCTCTGGTGCAGGTTTATCAGAGACACCCAGGGACACAGTTACCTGAGGCTGCTCATCTCATACAGGTGTTTACTGCTTCCAAAATGTCTATTCATACATGTTCAAATACACTCATAAAGCATGATGGCAGAACTTTTCAGTGTGTAGGGTGCTCTCTGGTGATTATACACGAATGAAAAGATTGTTATGCAAATTTTTTCCATATATGCCGATAAGGCCCACCTAAATGTTACACACTGGACCATAAAAGTATGTCTCATTAGAAAGTGATACCAAATGTTGAAAACAATGCTAAATATATGCATGGTTGAAAAACAAACTTTTCTGAGAAAAAAGGAAATATTATGTAAGCTTACACTTGCACATCTCAGACCACAGTCTGCATGACTAATGTAAAAACCAAACCAAAACTGTGCAGCAGAGGGAAGAGGAGACACAAAAACATACAATGACTTGAATACAGGGAATAACAGCAAACAAACAAGGTGGAGAATAGAGTATAAAGATACAGGCGTAAGTGTTTCTTTAAACTTAGAAAGGTAGATCTACGAAAAGATGCTTTATAGTAATATATAAGATGCATAGAAGATCTGCTCATGTGTGAAAATAACGACAAACCAGGAGGTAGCAGATGTTCACACCACATATTAAAAAAGCATTCAGTGGTTTGACACTAACCTCCCCTCTTGTCGCCTGCTGAGTGTCTCAAACCAACCAAATCAGCCAAATGAGTTTCCTGTGTGTCTTTCAGGGCAGCGCAGTGCTGAGGCAATGTCTAATGTCCTCTGAAGGTGAGCTGGCGAGGCTGCAGCGTGCCTGTCTGCAGCTGCTGGATGATCAGCACGGCAAGAGAGCAGCAGCTCAGGTGGACGCAGCTGTCATCCGCATGAGGCGGCAGCAGGTCGACAAGAGAGCCATGCCTTCTTTTCTCCAGCAGGGGGCGTGCAGAAGCCAACTCCCCTTATCTTGTGTTCAGTAGAGCTGCAGCAGCAAGCATGCAAGGAGAGAGAGAGGATAGTGTTAAGTGTGTTGTGAGAGATAGGGATCAGTCATGTGTGAAATGGTTCAAGATGAATAAAATGGGATAAAGGCTACACTATGTGACCAAAAGTATATGGATGCCCCTGTTTAAACACTTTTACACTTGTGTACTTTCGGTTTTGGTTAGTCCCTTTAGTTCCAATTTAAGATTAGGGGGGGAAAGTGTGCTTCCAGCTTTGTGGCAGCAGTTTAGGGAGGGCATTTTCCTGTTTTGATTACCTCTGTGCAGGAGGTTCATGAGGAAATGGCTTTCCCAGTTTAGTGTCGAATAACTTGACTGGCCTGTACAGATCCCCAACCCCATCCCATCCAACAACTTAGGGATGAACTGAAATAATAACTGTGATCCAGGCCTTATCACCCAAGATCAGTGTTGGATCTCACTGATGCTCACTGAGGCTGATTGGGTGAAAATTCCTATAGCCAAGTTCCAAAATCTTGTGGAAAGCCTTCCCAGAAGAGTGAAGGCTGTTGCAGCGGCAGATTAATGCTCATAGTTTCAGAATTAAATCTTTAAACACCATATAGGGGTGTAATGTTCAGATGTCCACATACTTTTAGCCACACAGTGTATGTTTCTGCAATTAGCTGCACACATGGAGTTGACTTTTTTCTCTACTAGTCTCTTTGTGCAATAACATTTAAAACACTGAAACTTAATAAAGGTTCAAACAAAGAGTTGTGATGTCCAAGACGCTACACTTCCTGGTCAGAAAGAAAGCACAGCCACGTTCTGAGGATTTGTGTTGGGTAATTTATGAAAGCTCAGACGAATCCAGTAAGTTTTGGAAAGTATTGGACAATCCCTTTTAATGGCCTGTATGTATATGTGACTGACAGAATCTTAATTTCCCTGATGCAGCAAACCCCAGCCAACTGTTATTTCAGTGATAGAAGAAATACCAAGATTAATTTACCGTAACCATTTCATTGTGGTCAAATTCTGTTATCTTTACTGCATTAAAAGATGGTCGTGATAGGAACAATGGCCTTCTATATGGCTGAAAAATAGATAGACAGATAAAGTGGATAGAGATTAGTAGTGTCTAATATGTTTATCTGTTATCTAACAAGATGATTACATTTCTCACTGAAAATAATTTATTAACTCAATAGAGTCTCACAGTTTATTTTGAGATATAAACTGACAAGCTGCCTTCTGAAGTAAAACAGCTTTAAAGACATGAATTTAACATATTTTCCATGAAGTTTAAAAGACTATTCCTACCTCCTACTCAGATTTCTAGTCATGGGATTGCAAGTCACTTGACATTCCTCCCACCAAACTTAACGTCTTTCATTAGGACATAAGACATGATTTAATAAACCCTGTTTTACCTAGTACACGCCACATGTCTTGTCATTCTGTCAAAAAAACAAGACATAAGTGGACATAAAATGACCCATTTCATATAAATTTGAACCTAAATTAGATTGTAGTTTCTTTTTTCGCAAAGCCCTATCGATTCTCTTAAATCTGAATGGGACTATTCTCAGCAGGACAGTGAGCCTGAGCAGTGCTGTAAAATCAAGGCTGTCACCAGGAAGCTAACAGCTTAATTGAATCATAAGTGTTGGGGAGTGGAGATTCCTGAAGGTAATAAACAGAATATCAACAGACCTTCAGATCTCTGCAGCTGGACTGGCTGAGGAAGCCGAGAAAGCCTAGATAAAGCTGAAACTGACTGACTTTAACAGGTTTCTTGCCTTCAAGATGAAGAAAGCTGAGTGGTTCTAGAAAATAACAAGAAAGACACGACGTTAAGAGCTGAAGAATCGAGCAGCAAGATTATTATTTTTTCCTTGTTGGCATTAAGAGGCAGTAATGTCGAAGCTGGTTTGCCATCTGCTTCTCCTTTGTTTACTTCCAGCTGTGGGTAAGTGAACAAAACAGAAGTGCATGTGTGGGCGTGTTTGCTTGTGTGTATGAATGTACAAAACATGCAAACAGAAATACTGTTACTGGAAATTGCATGTGCAGCAATAACTAATGGGACTGCAAATAATGTTTTTTTAAAGTATATATATATTTCCAATCAATTGATGAACCGCTTAGTGTAAAAAAATAAGTCTGTTTTGTCCTACTAAGAGTCAAAACCCCAAAGATATTCAATTTACTATAATGTAAGACATAAACTCTCACATTTGGAAAGCTGGAACCAGCAAATGTTAGGCATTTTGGCTTAAACAAGTATCAATAAAGTTGCCAATTAATCTAACTAAACAAATGATTTTTTAATCAACAATGTAGATTTATGTTATTAATTCAATGATTTACGTCCATAATAACAATTATCCAATTTGCAATAGCAATTACTGCTAATAATAATCAATCAATTTTGTAATCAGTTACAAAATGTAAACACTTGAGGATGTCATTGTTTACTTTTAAAATTCAGAACAAAGGATGGTGCAGTTTTTGTCATTTTCATCACGTTTCAGATCATAATCCTGATGTCACTACAGCTTCTCTGAAAATCAAATCTAAAACCTTTAAAGAAATGTGGTTTTAACCAACATGTCTGTGCTTCAGTTCCCCTCTTCTGTTATACCTGTGTGTTCCCGGCCATCTCACCTCTGGACTGTATCAGATACCCTATGAAGTGTCCACCCGGGCAGGTCTGTCTGTCCAGCAGAGCTGTGGGCGAGAAAGGTGAGGGTGCCTCAAGTCACTGAACAAAATTTAAATGAATCAAAACTGAGAAAAAGAACTGAGAAAGACGGTTCCAAGCACAGAGCGAGAGATGAGTCAGTGTGGTTTATTTATTTTTTTCTTTGCAAGTCTCTCCCAAACTGATGTTTCTAATGAACTCATGGTTTCCAGGAGACTTCCGTGTGGTGTTGTATGAGAAGAGCTGCATCCTGCCCTCCCTGTGTGGAGTCACGGGTGAAAAATACACCATGGGAATCAACTTCACCTTCACCAATGAATGCTGCAACACACACCTGTGCAATGGAGCTGCAAGACCTGCGACCCCCTACTGGACTGGCACACTACTCACACTACTTATTTCGTACTCTGTTTGGTGAAACATATTAAAGCAATGTGGAAGAGAAATAGTTTGACACATGAAGCGGAGTTGCCTTTTCTGTCCTCTAGTGGACTGACATTTTATTCAACTTCCTTTTAGTAACTGTACTAATCTGTGCTTAGTTTTACCTCGAGTGTGAGATGGAAAAATAATATTATTGCTAACTTGCAGAGCTTGCTTTTTGGAAGAGATATTGGGGATGAGTGTTTAGTTTATGTTTCCATGATTTATACAAAGTCTGATCAAATAAACTACCTCTATTAATTTATCAGTCAAATTTGTCTCAGAGGGCTTTAGAAAAAAGAAAGCAGCAGTTTCTAATGACATCAAATCCTATTTTTAGCTGTAAACATGCAATCAAAGTTGAAACAGTATCACGTAAGACTGTGTGGAGGATAATGTATTCTTGAGACCCTCCTTGTGGCTGGAGTGAAAGCTCTGCATGAAGTGAGGACCTCCAAGCCCAACCTGATCTGACCTCTATATTACAAGCAGAGCTTCAAGGTTGGGGAGCAAGTACAAGAAATATGTGAACTAAATCCTGAATTAAGGAGGCCTACTTTGTGTACTTGACAAACATCCATGTTAAATTGATATTTTTAATATAATAGCAAAGTGGTGGGTACTTTTACTACTTCATTTTCTTATACAGGGTTGAATCAATTAGATTTAATTGATAGATCTAAATACACAACTCGGCAAAGGCTTAGGCTACCATCTGGGACACAATGAACGCAAGATGCAGAATGGCACAATGGGGAAGCATGGTTTCAACTCATAAGTTTCAATATATTTCATTATTATATACTTTAATTAATAAAAAACAAGATCAGTAATGTATTTAAATGTTCTGACACAATTTGTACACTTCCTTGCAAGTCTAACAAAAATGAAATCGAAGATTGAGATTAAAGAACATGCTCTGTAGACTATATTTGCAGGCTACCAGGTACCCTTGGGGACCCATGCAAAGACCTTATATTGAATATCACTTATCACACAGGCTACATACAGAACTAGGGAGATGGAGTTGTACACCACTTTAACAATGCTTGTTCTCCCTGGCCTACAGAATGAAAGATATGTACTGTTGTGTCCTCAAAGTCATGTGAACCATGTAAAATTTGAGCATAACTCAAATGAAGTTCATCATTTAGTTAGTTCATTATGTACAGGCACAGACAAGAGTCTTATTTTGTTGCATACTTGCTTGAAAATGTTGCAACATTACCATGCTGTTTATTAGTAATGTTATTAATGTGTTGTCAGAATTGTTGAAGAAATATTGTTTTTATTTGAGCATGTAAAATTATTTTTATTGTAATTTTTATGTAAAAGTGAACTAACTATCTAACTAAAGCCAGGAACTGTCTTTAAATAATCAAATAAACCACAATAAATAACTGAATATGTGCAGTATACAATCTACACACAAAAAAAAACAATAAACAAAAAGTAAAAGACAGAAACATTATGTTTATATATATATTAATACTCTTTTAATAGGTATGTTTGACTTGTCACAGCAGTAAAGAAGCACAGGTGTTACACATAACATTAACTATTATTCAACATTTAGGTGAGGCACAGTAAACCCACTTCACATGAAGCAGGTCAACTTGTTTTTTATGAAACAGCCAGTGAGTGGCGCCATTATGTTTCTTTCTGCTTCCTTTACACCACCAGGTGTTGTTAATTGGCTCCAACTGAGGAGAATCAGTGGTAATACACTTTAAGTTAAGGTTGTATTTTTTTAAGCGTAAACCTTAAAATAAATAAATACATAATTAAACTTGTTATAAGACTTCAGGGCATGGTTTACCTCCCACTGTTTCTCATGCTGCCGTTGTGGTCCTCCACTAATGGTGGAGCAGTAAACCGAACAACCCAGGTGATGAGAAAAGTTTCCCGGAGAGAAACACCGACTCTTCCGCCGCCGTACCTGCACCTCCCCGTGTTCGTGGACTCAAGGCTGCCGCTGGTGGAGAAGGAGCACTTCTCTCCCGCCAGAGGAACCGGACAGGAGCCGTTACCTGCGTCCGTCCGGGAGCTCCTACTCCCGGTTCGGCCGAATACCAGTCCGCCCGGCGCTTCGGGTGTTTCCGTGAAGACTTCATGTCAGCTGCAAAAGATGCAGGTGCAGGTGCCGAGGAGCATTTTGGGCACAGGTGAACTACACTCTCAGGTCAAACTGGGCACATGCAAGGCCAGTAAATCTACAAAAGATGACCTGTATTTTGAATATGACCTCGGCATGTGTGGAACCAAACGCACGGTGAGCTTTAACAATAACTTTATATTTCACCCACCATGCTAACAGGTGTGGCAATCTGTTGGGTGGTCCTCCCCTTTGGTCCAAATAAAATATCTCAACATCTATTTGATGGATTGGTATTACATTTGGCACAGACATTCCTGGTGCCCAGAGGATGAATCCCACAGAGTTTTACGGTTGTGTGTCTCTTTGTTTTGTATTTATGTCTCAACTGGAGCTGCAGCAATTAGTTGATTGGTTTATGTTGGAAAGTTAATCAGCAGCTATCATTTAAATCTAAAGTCGATTTCTCAAATCTTATATTGTTGTCACTTGAATATCAGTGGGTTTTTGATTATTGGTTGGACAAAACTCTTGAAGTCAGGATATTGTGATGGGTATTTTTACCTTTTTTTAATAATGTTTTATTGTCCAAACAATTGAGCGATTTTATTGGAATTGGAAAATAACAGTAATGGATAAAAATAAATAATAAATAAAAAAGTCTCAATAGCTGTTGGATTGGCATGAAATTTGGCACACATTCATCATGGCATTCACTGCATTAGATGAAATATTATTCCAATTCATCCTCCTGACAATTTGTTCAATACCTAAGATGATGAACATGATAAACCCAGCTAAACATCTGGATGTCAGCATTCCTATGTTATCAGCTGTGCCTATAGGAAGTACTGCCTCACAGAGCTGCTAGAATGGCTGTGGTCTTGTTAAAAGAAGATGTATAATTTAGCTAATTGTTGTTTTGCAGATAAATAATAACCAGGTGGCCTATTCAAACACACTACAGTATGACCTGCCAAGACTCCAAGGACCAATCAGGCGAGCTGTGCCCTTCACCCTGCCTGTTGCATGTTATTATAACAGGTAGGACTGGTATTGAGTCCACACCAGAAAGCATTCTGCACCATTCTTATAACTATTTTTAAATATAGAAATCCTATATTAACACTGTTCACACTGGACTATGTTTTTAACTGTTTAGGTACCAATACTCCTACAAAATTGGCTACACACCAAAGATACAGATGCGCAAGATCTTCAAACCAATGAAGAACAGAGTAAAGTTCATTCTGACTCCACGAAATGGTAAAACCTGCAAAGACGTACATCTTATCTGCCTCCAACTCATTTCTGTGGCTCTGAAAAGTCTAGAAAAGCATTAGTTTGAGAACTTAAGAAACAATGCTTTCAGTATTGTTTAAAAATGGACTGATGAGCAAATGGTTGTCCATTTACTTTTTTACCATTTACCTATGTCCTTTTTACGGTGCACTTTCAACTGTGTATATTTGTCTTCAGTAAGTGAGACACATTTTTGCATTATTTTTCTCTTTTATGGCTAAAACTAAATAAAATATTTTCCATACAATAAACATGAAATATTTTTAAAGGAGAGTGAAGCATTTAGTGAACACAGCTGATGTCTGTATTTGATGTTCTGGGAATGAGAATATTATATTCTATTGTGACAATAGATCCTCCTAAATGTTACACACTGGACCTTTTTTAATGTGATAAAATAAAAGTTACATAATATGCAGTGCAATCTTGACAGATTAAATATCTTGTATAGAGTTCAGTGTGCACACTAGCAAAAATTGCACCACCCTGGTGATCAAAGTAAAATGGTTAATGTCCACATTGTGCTTAAATTGAGTTTACTTTAACCAGTATTACCAATATTAGCAGCATCACCCTAGATTTACTTGATTAGACACTGTATTGTCTTTAAAATGTTGAAAACCCCATACATATATTAGTATGGTTTCATATATGAGATTAATGTCAGTATAATAAATCTAATGTGTGTGTATATATATACTAATATACAACAGTTTATAATCATAAAGCTATGTACTGGATGGCAATATTCTATTGACACAATGATTAGAAAGATTACCTACCTTTACTATCAACTGACATCTCAACTGATTTAACATGTTTTAAAATTGTATTTGAGGTTAGGAAACTTGGATTTATCTGAATCAAACTTGAAGTTGTTTGTCTGACTGCTTCCTTCTGTCTTTCAGCTCAGTGGGAACGGCTTTCTCCATCAGATCAGTATGTTTTAGGGAACCCCATGTACTTTGAGGCAGAGGCCCCCTCCATGTCCCAAGACAAAAGACTGTACGTCCACTTGTGTTACGCGACACCCAATAAGTCCCATACCTCCAAGCCTCAGTTTCCAGTCATAAACAACTTTGGGTAATAAAACTCACACAAAATGGAGATGTTGAGATGCACTGTGTATTAAAAAAATAGCGCATGTTATGCTCAGGTTTTCTCTCACTCTGGTAAAGGTGTATGGTTGAAAGCAAGGACAGACGCTCCAGATTCATCTCACACAAAACCACTTCTGTGAGATTCTCTGTGGATGCCTTCTTGTTCAAAGGAATGACAGGCCAGGTGAGTTTTTAAGTTATTACCCGAGAAGGATTGTTAACTTTTTCACTGTATTTTCAATATATTGTTTCTCTGGAGGCTCTGCTATTTTCTTTGCTACAAATCTGGTTTCTGTTTGTATACCGTGCTAAAAGACTGATGGGAAATCTTGTGATTCGCTTTCCTGTAGCAGCTCTACATGCACTGCAGCATGTCTGTGGGCGGTTCTGCCCCAACAACTACAGCTAAGTCCTGCAACTACGACACAAAAGCAAGAAGGTTAGTTGTTGTTTTTTTCTTGAAGAATTATACATTTTAAAGCTTAAAAGTGCTGCATAATTCTTGACACAAAAGGGAACACATCTTTATCAATGTTTTTTCTCAGATGGGTTGAGCTGTATGGATCAGACTCGGTGTGCACCTGCTGTGACTCCGACTGCAGCTCTGCTGTGTCCACAGGTGAGTCTTTGCTTCCCTAATTTTCCACAATAAAACACATCCTATTACCATTAAAGGATAAAGCTGTAGAAATTCTATATTGTCAACAAAACCAAAAATGAGTTCATTTTAGAGATAAAATGCCACATGTTAATTGGAGTGTGTGTGTGTGTGTGTGTGTATTTATTTATTTATTTATTTATTTTGTAATAGTGGCTTTTGTTGTAATTTTGGAACAAATTATTATATTCTAAAATAAAAAATGTATCATTTCTAGTGACCAAAATAATCAGCAGCAGGTCATGGACAATAGAGCCCAAAGTGAAACCTACCACAACCCCAAAGAGGAAGACGGTTTCCACCACCACAACAACAACAATAGCAGCAGCAGCACAACCAGAGACTACCAGAGAGGTGACCAAAAGGAGGACCACTTCAGACGTGAAAAAGGCGAGCACGGTGAAGGAGTTGGAGTGGCCATTCGGAGCTGGAGGACTGACATGGGTTGAGGTGGAAGGTGAAGAGAAGCAGGTGAAGGGCTTTGCTGTTGTGGATGAGGAGGAAAAGGTCACAAAAACAATAACAACAACAATAGCAGCAGCACCACAGCCCGAGACTACCAAAGAGGTGACCGAAAGGAGGACGACTTTACAACTTGAAGAGACAGCAGTGACTCCAGTGGGCAAAGCAGCGAGCCCAGTGAAGGAGTTGGAGTGGCTGTTTGGAGCTGGAGGACTGACATGGGTTGAGGAGGAAGGTGAGGAGAAGCAGGTGAAGGGCTTTGCTGTTGTGGAGGAGAAAAAGGTCACAGAACCTCGAACAGTATTTGAAGATATCTTTGATTTTGACAAATAAAGCTAAATTTGTCCAGTTATAAGTTCTATCTGGGTGGATCATTACAGGACTCCTTACAAGCAATAATCAAGAGATCACTGTGAATATTTTTCTGCAGATGTTGTCTGCTATTACACACTGCACAGCTGAATTGCCTTTTGTCTCTTGAAACACTGTCTATATCGATCAGCCCTTTTAAAGGAACAATCTTTAAGAATCAGTATTTTTTTTAAGTAAGCTCATTTACTTTCTTGAGAGTTAGATGAGAAAATTCTTAGAGTTGCCTGTTAAATATTAGGCTACGGCTTAGCTTAGCATAAATTAATATCCTATGTGAATTAAACAAGATATGTTTTAATTAGTGAGCTTTAGAGGTGCTGGTTTTGATAAAACTTTGTACAATCAGGCTAGCTGTTTCCCCTGGTTTTAGCCTTTAGCTACAGCCGACAACTGATTAGCTTAGCATAAATACTGAGAGTGGTGGCAGACTTCCTATCTAATTCTTTGCAACAAAGCGCACTTCACATTAATCAAACTATTCCTTTAAGAGATGTTGCTAACTCGTTCAGTTATGCGTCTATATTAATGGATAGAAGTATGAAACACAGAAAACTCAAAAGCCACCGTTTCTATACAAAATTTTAAAAAAAAAAAAAAAAAAAAACTTACAGGAGTCCATTTTAAGATACAAGCATCATTTATTAGCTTTACATCTTGAGTAAATGTTATATTGCTACATGACAGTCATTCTGTACAATTTCTCTTTTACAAATGTCAGGTCATTGAATGTGATAACTGCAGTTTTGACCTATGAAGTAAAAAAAACAGTTACAAAACTGTAATGCTACTCAAAACAGTAAATGCTATGGTGAGCCTGGTCTTGAGTATGGTCTTTACAAAAGGTACTATCAAACAAAGTACTTACAAAATAAACTTGGTTTCATAACATCTGAATAACCGTTAATACATTTTGTCATCAGTATATTTATGAAAATCTTGGGAAGAGTATAATACCAATCCTTTCCATTCATCACAGAGTTAATTTCCCTCATCACAGAGTTAATTTCCCCCATCACATTTTGTCCATTTTTTTTTGAAGGAATGTGACAGACAACATGATAATGCCCTTATGAAAACAGACCGTAGCGTCATATCACCTTCATTTCAGACAGGGTTCAGCTCAGGTGCATTCTGGATGGAGTGTGCATGTGTTTTCTAGCACATTTGGGTTCCTCTCCCGTGTTATCCATTCAGGTGTGAAATGCATCGTCCTCAGTAGTACGAGCTCAGGTGGGAGTGAGTGCCGGGATGTCTCGTCATGGCTGACCCAGGATAGATGGGGCTGTTGGGGGAGTTCCAGTACGTGGATGGAGGGCTGAAATAGTTGCCTGGGGACACGGGCATGGGTGCAGGATGACCACCCATGAAGTTCATTTTGGGCTGGTGGCTGTGGTAGGCCTGGCCGTAACTCATCTCAGTCTGGTACTTAACAATTCCCCCTTCCGCTGCGTGATTCTGGTGTGCCTGTGAGATGCCTTGGAAGTCAAATTTGTAGGCGTAGCGCTTGCCGTGCACCTTTGTCATGATGTTCTTGTCATAGTAGTAGCGCAGAGCGCGGCTCAGCTTGTCATAGTTCATGTTGGGCTTGCTCTTGCGCTCACCCCAGCGCTTGGCCACCTCGTCCGGGTCGGTCATCTTGAACTCGCCGTTGGTGCCCTCCCAGGTGATAATGCTGGCATTATTGCTGTCAGACAGCAGCTCAAGCAGGAACTGCCACAGCTGGATCTGCCCCGAACCTGGGAGGAGAAAGGAAGAGGAGGAGTTAAGGAACTGAGCAATGACTCTGTTGGTCACACAGATAAAAACAGAAAATGGACAGAATTATCAGCAGTAGCTGTGTGAAACATTGTGTGTAAGCATCTGCATTCGTTCACTTTTGGGGGGATGTAATGATCTGTTAGCCTTTAAAATTAGCATCAGTACTACATTTTAGTACTTAGGAGTTTTGTTGTGGACATGTTGTTCCTTGTAGTATTATGACACACAGCTAACATCTCATTCAGCTTATTTTTTTCCACCAAATGTGACCTTTTCACTGTGTGGCTTGGAGGAAGTGACAGACATCGGGGCAGAAACCTACCCACAGGCCTGTGAGCGCTGGGGTCAGGCAGCTTGTATGGACTTTGTTTGCCTGTTCGGTTCTTGGATGAGCTGAGGGCTTGGCCTTCTGTGAGGAAACAGCAGGGCAAACAGTCATTTTGGTGATAGGGAAGCCAGATTTCGTCTCAGTGTAAGCGTGATGCAATTCTGCTGACACAACAGGTGTTGCTTGATGATTACTCCATTTTGGAAAGTAAGTGCATGCCCTTGCTTGCTTTTCCATCATGTTACCAAAGCAGACAGTGTAAAGGCCTCATTTGTGTCATCTTTGTAGGTTTTCTTGTGGTGGTTTGGATGCTTACCTGGGTTGGCTAGTCGACTGCTTATGGGCCCTAATGTCTGATATGGGTCTGTAAAGAAGAAAAAGCATATTTACATATTTTTTTGCAGATGTTATGTCTTTTGAGCCTTCATTTTGTGAGTTGTGCTCATAGACAGCCATATCAGCCAGATGGAGAAACAGTCGACCAGTCAGAAATATTGAAAGATCTATTGTGCATTGTTTTTAGCCATGCTATTGGCAAGACTTTAAGGATGACAAGTCAGCCAGTCAGGCCACCACTTTGGTTCAAACTGAAATATCTGTAACAACTATTGGATGGATTGCCTTGAAGTTTTGTAGAGAAATTAATGTGTGATTCCAAAAAAAGTTCTTAAGCTTTGAGCAGTCAATTCCTTAAAGCTCTGTGTGTTATACAAAATATTCATACCTTGAGCAATTCTTGGAGCAGGCTCTGTAACTCTTGTGTTGTGTTGGTGCTCCATGGAGGGACCTACAAATCAAAAAGAAAAGAATTGTTTAATACTCATATGTGGTCTGATTTTTTTAATTTCTAAAGAATCAATTTCTGTCCAAAACTAGTAGTTGTTCATAGATGAAAAATTCAAAATCATGATCACTGGTTTCATATCGTCCTTAGTTTTGGTTGTCATACCTTTCGGCACTGCAGCCATGGTGTTTGTCGGCCAGCTGTTCCTGCGGCTGATCTCATCAAAATTGCTCTCTGCACACGAAAAAAAAACAAGGATGAGACTAGACGTTGACAGGCACGTGGCATAAAAAGCCTTTGAAGTGGACAGTTCAGCCATAGTAGGAAGGAAGTCAGTAAATTGAGACAAAGACAATAAGAGTTTGGAGGTCTGAAGATGACCCACAGTTTCTTGGGCAAGCGTTCTTTTGTCCAGGCCACCCCTGTTGGCACAAGATTGTGAATTGTCTCCCAGGAGCAGGACCCATACCCCCCATTTCCTGCACCGGTGCAGCTGCTTCCTGTCTGAAACTGGCTGTTGAGCTTTGGACTCATCAAAGTTTTGTCAACTGAGGCCAGTGTTGTGCCAAGGAACCTTTTTAGACTTTTGAAACTATGTAACACAGTTCTGAAACTCAACGCATTATTTTTAAATCCCTAAACCATTCAAGTAGTTTAGTCTTTTCTGATGGGTTGGAAAATGTGATCCTAAATTCTGAGCTTTGATTTACACCTATAAACACTCTGGACATCTGGACAATATGACTAATGGGAAATGGTGGCAGTTAATCATGAAATACTGAAAAAAAAAAAAAAAGAAATTTATAGAAAATATATTATTATTAAGTACTTAATGTATCGAAAGTAAAAGTATTTGTGCTCCAGAAAATAGCAGTTGTATCAGCAATAGACACATCAATAGCAATAATAATGTTGTTCAGTAGAATAGCCATGGTTTCACTTCGATACATTAAATGTAAACTGCCATGAAAGCACATAACAAATACGCCATGGCTCATAAATAGCCTACCATATTAATTGATATTATAGCGTGCCATGAGTCAATCACCATAGCCACTTCCATCCTTTTGAAGTACGCAGCATGTCATCAGTCACAGCCTTCATCTGTTACATCTCAAGTATCTCAAGTCAGGCAGTCCACAATGGAGAGGTACAAAGGAACTGTTCTAACTTATTCAATACACTAAAGCGAATATCTGCTCACAGTCCACTAGCTTTCTGCTCTGTGTTTGGTTGTACACAGCGCTGGCTCTTAAAATGGGGAAACAAACAAAGTGGATTGGACCAAACGCACTAACTTATTCTAGCCAGGATTTGTGTGCCAGTTAATGTTAAGTGACTTGCCCTACGGACATTCAGCTTACTTTCTAGTTATCCATGATGTTGTTGTGATGTTAGCTATAGTAGCAGGAGAGTTGTGAGATCTGGAGGACATGTGCTAGCTCTAGTAAACCGTCTCCTCCTTTTTGCATGTTAGCTGCGTAGCAGGATGTTGCATGCAAACCAACAACTTGGCTGAGGTTAATTACATAACCATCATTACCAGGGTGTCCGTGGGGTATTAAAAGATAAAAAATCGGATGTATCTTAATCTGATTTTGATGGGTTTTATTTGATTTTAAATGTGTTTTCAGGAAAAACAAATATTGATCAGGCTGTAACTACAAAACTAAACAGAAATGGAACCAATACCGATGTTCCTTCGTATCCAGTATGGACGTGAAATTGGTGATGAAAGGAGAGTGGATGATCTCACCTGCTTTCACCTGTAGTCTGGGTTGTTGTGGTGGTGTGTTGTTGGTGGGAGTTGTGGAGTATGAGAAGGTGGGGCTACCTGTAGCAAAGACAAAAAAAAGTCAATATCATATTTTCTCAAAGTAGATGCAACATAAATGGGATATACCAGGGTAGAATTTGTGTGTCCTGAATTGTATTTTGAAATAAAGTATACACATCAAAGATATTAGATGTTGATTTGACCCTGTTGAGGACAGTTTATGGTGTTGCTGTAGTTACTGGATCGCGTAGTACTGTAAGATGTTGCTGTCATTTTGTCCACGCTTTCTATGGTGTAATGTTACCTTGAAAACCGGATTAGAACATGGTGG